ACTGCAGTAGTTCAGCTCTAACTTTTATTTTGATGGTCTGGATTCAAATTTCCCACTACTATTTAGTAGTTGTGATGGTGGGCAAGTTTTTTACCTCTCTTAGCTACTATCATATTATAAAATCTAGATATTACCTGCCTCACTGGAACAGATGAGGAGTTAAGGAGATGTCTCAGTCAGCTTGGGCTGCTATAATAAAAATATCATAGACTAGGTGACTTGAAGAGCAGAAATTTATTTCTAACAGTTTTGGAGGCTAGGATGTCCAATATCAAGGTACCAGCCAGTTTGCTTCCTGGTCTGCAAACAGATGTCTTCTTACTATATCCTGTTATGGTGGGGGGTGGGGGGGAGGAGAGAGAGAGAGAAAGGGAAGAAGGGAGAGCGAAAATTCCACCCATGAGGGCTCCACCCCCATGACCAGATCACCTCACAAAAGCCCCACCTCCAAATACCGTCGCATTGGGTATTAGGCTTCAATATGTGAATTCTGGGCTGACCCAAACGTCCTATTCATAGCAAGATTTTATGTAAAAGTACCTAGCCATACAAAACAACACTTCACCATGTGTGAATGCAGGAATGACCAAGACCTAGCTTTGCCTGCCCTCAAAGGAATCACGGTCTTGTACTAAAGATATTTTTCTTGAAAAACCATGGGAACTTTGACATCTTAAGTTGAACATGATTACATGAGGAAAATTTCACAGCTAGCAACATTTTCTTTTAAAAACAAAAATCTTTAGTGCTCAGAAAGCTAATTATAGGGTGTTCTAGTTTATCTCAGTTCCTAAATATATAAAGAAGTGCTCATTTTATTTTCTTTTGAGTAATTGCATATTGCTGATTTTTCTAAAAGAGTTGGGCAGAGATAAAGTAAAATGCACCCCACTGAGGTACACTCCACAATTCTGATTAGCATTCTCTTCTTGCAGCCAAGCTATGCAGCGTCAAAGCATCATAATTATAAAGTTTGATCAGAGTTCAATTGAAGGAAAAGAATATTTAGATGATTTCAAGGAGTCCCTCAGTTAAGATAATTTGAAGAACTATATTATTATAGGAAATTATTTGTCAAAAGAACTGGAATACTTAGTCCACTGGACAAGACTTCCACCTCCATGGTGATTGCAAGATACGCGTTAAGCATGTTCTGTATTTGTTAGTTGTTTTGAATTCACAACTTTAACATGCTAACATAGCCCAGCTTGCTGGAACTACACAATGCTTGAAAAATAGAAGGAAGCTTTTCAGAGATGTATATACAAAGTGTTAGACAGTACTATATAGTTGGTGTTTTCAGACTCACTAACTCTCCGTATTCTGTATTGATTATCCGTGTGACTGTCAGAGAACAATCTGATTTCACATATTTACAATTTCTTGAGGACTAACTCACCATAGTCTTCAAGTACCAACAACACTAGTCAGATGTCATTCAAGCAAATTTGATATTATACTTTTTACTTAGATTGTCCAGAGATAGAAGATAATGTAGTTTACAAAATTATATTCTTTCTTTAATTAAAAAAAAAACTCAATGAAGTTTCCAAGATTAAAAGAAAGGCACCAAATTATAAATATAGTTGAATTGGAAATGTTTTAAATTAAGATTTTTAAACAGATTTTTTAGAGAAAAATATTTTAAAATGTTTAAATATGTGTGTGCCAGTCTTTAGCTTATAGAATAGGGAATGATTAAATGTATCATTAAGACAAAAAAAGAGTTAAAGATGGCTTCCCAACTAAGTCATACTTAATTACAAACCTAATGGACAGTGTCCTGAGTAAAATTAAACTCTGAAAACATTTGACTAGTATTCAAAATTAGTATTGCATAAACATCTATACATTATATTTTTCATTGTGGGGATGATAAGCATAGAGTTTTAAACCACTTAGACACTTTAAAAATTCTTTTCTCTGTGTCTTTTTTAATCAAATTTATATTTTGGAGTTTGGAAAAGATATAAACATGCTGTAAAATACCTTTTCTAAAATATCGCTGATTGTCAAAAATTATGTCCAAATGAACATAAAAGAATGACAGATGCATGTAGGGCATTCACATAATAAACATTTAAAAATAATGCAAATAATCACAATTAAATCACTTTTGGGGCAATATAGTATCACTTTAGGAAGCAATAGAGATGTTATAAAACAATTTTAACATTCTTGGTGCCATGTGATGCACATTAATAGTCATGATCTGAGAAATTATCTCATATCATTGAACTTACAGAGAGCTCTCCGTAGGGTTCTTTAAAATTATTCTTTCCATCTAAACACAAACCAAAAAACTGATATTTTGATTTTATTCATTATGCTCATGGAACAATATCTCAAATCAGCAGGCAAATTATATATCTTCAAAACAGGAAAGGAAGAAGGTTTTTGAAATGATATTTTTGAGCACTTCAGTAGAACGAGCTGAGTAAGAATAGTTAAGAATTTTGAGTTTGATTCTTCACACAGCCAAGAGATCTGGACTGCCTGATGTTTCTGTTAGAATATTTTAAACCTTCCAGTTCCAATTTCTTTTTTACAATCTAGCTATACTTGACATTGACAAAGCCAAAGTATTTCAACAGAAATATTTTTGTAATATCCTAATAGCACTAATAATAAATTGATAATGAATTTGATCGTTCAGAGCAATGAATAATAAATAATAGCCAAATCAAAGATATTATTAATTACTACCATTTCCTTTAAACACATTGTATGAGGTTCAAAATATTTATGTGCTGAGGAAGAACTCTAGTGCTGATTTCTTTTGTTACAAGATTGTCCGTTATTTCAGTTTTTCACTTTGTCTATTTCATGGGCTTTTAAAAAAAATCTTGTAGAAGGAAATGCTATTGTTATCCGTGCATTTTTTCTTTTAGAGGAAAATGTTAGAAGAAAAAGCAAATGATATTATCTATTTATTTTTCTTAGTTATATATATTCAGGCCCCTAAGTTTAAAGAATCCTGGATTTATTGAAATTGAGTATTTTTCTCCTAAAATGAATAGTTTTTATAGAATAATTTATTTAAAAATTTAGCTTGCATAGCTATTTTGATCTCTGTGTGTGCAATTCATTTTTAAACACCTGGCAACAGCAAAATTTGTAAATATACCAATATATGATTATATATCAATATAGGCAAATTATATGAGCTTGGATTTAAAACATGCAGGTAAAAAGTAACAGGACGTCAGGTTTTTTTTTAATTGCATATGTTATTAAGAAAATAACTTTGAACTTTCTGGTTCATTTTGCCCTTGTATACCTAGTTTATTCACTAGATCAAGTCTATCTATATGAACAAAGGAAATAAGGTTTGTTTGGGGTATTTAAAAAAATCATGTTATTGGGCATATTGATATTTGCCATTAATAAGTGGGAATTCAGGCTGCCTTGCTTGCAAAGTGCTTTCATGTAATCTGCACTTCATCTGTATTTTCCACTGCTTGCTAAACATTTCCTTTTTGGGTATCTTGTTGACACTTGAAACACAATATATTCAAAACAAAGGTAGTATCTTCCTCCAAAGAACTCTGATCCCTATATTGCATACTTCAATTGATGGTAGATTATCCTTCTGTAAACCAAGAAAGAACTCCAGGAGTTCTTTTTCCATCTGATCCTCAGTTTTAAATTACAAAAAAAAATCTGACTTACATCCTACACCCAGATATACTATTAAATTAGCATTTCCTGGCCAGTGAGATTACAGTCAATTTAGGAGCCTAAACTGAAACAGCATCTTCTCAGTGAAAACCTTCCCCAGTTTTAAAAATAGAATAAATCATTTCTCTGTTACCTGTGCAGCTCTGCTGGAAAATTTATATTGTGCATGGTGCAATATTTTGCTGTTTATTATCTGTTTCCTGCACTGTTTCTGTGTACAAACCACTCCAAAACTTAGTGGTATAAAACTACAGCTGATTTTACCTTGTTCATGATTTGGAGGATCTGAAAGGCAGGAGGGATCGACCGAGCAGTTTTCGCTGGGATATCTCGTGTGATTGTAGTAGATGCAGGCTTGGGCTGCAGACATCTAACTCCCTGACTTCTGGATGTCCAGGACGGCTCACTTAGATGGCTGGCAGGTGATGCTAGCTCTTGCCTGGGAGCTTAGCTGGAGCTGTTGACTGGATGGCCTATAGGTCATCTTGCCAGCATGGCAGGGTCAGCTGGAGTACTTACATGGCAGCCGGCTTCCCCCAGAGCTAGTGTCCTTAGTGAACAAGAAAGAAATCACATGCTTTTTCCTGATTTAGCTGAGGAAGTCCGCAATGGTACTTCCACTGTATCCTGTTGGTCACAAGTGACTCACACAGCCACACTGACAGACTGCCCAGCCCATGCCTCCCCATTCTCTCTTCTGTCCTCCTAAAATATCCTTTCAGTTCTTTTCTCTAGGTCTAATTCCTTCCATCTTTCAAGCTCTGCTTCAGTATCACCTGCCAAAGCCTTTCCTGATTCCATCGTTGAGCTACCAGAGCCAATACCTTTGTGGCTGAGTTCAGAGTGACCAGTTCAAATCCCAGGTTTCCCATTTAAGACCTACATGCCCTCGGGAAGGTTATTTAATCCCTTTATGTGAAAAGCAGGAATAAGAACAGGACCTACATACCCTACAGGGTTATTGTGCACGTTGAATGACCAAACAATACAGAACATTTCCTGTGACATATAGTAAGTAGACAATGTTAGCTATTATTCTTATATCGTCTTTCTCCAAAGCCCATAGCATTTTATTTGTGCGTTTCTGTGTCTACCATAGCCTGCCCCTTGTAACAGTAATTTGTGGGCTTATTCTCTGTCTTCTGCATATTTAGCTCAATACGTTACAGGCAATTTAGCCCATTAGACACCTGTATCTTGAATATCAGTTCAGAGCCCCTCTGATTCTTTATGCCTCAGTGAACAAAACACATAAAACCTTGCCATTTTTTTCTCTGTTATTCCTTATAACCTTTTTTCCCCTATAATTCTTCTTGCAGAAATCAGAAAAGAAAGATCTGGGAAGACTTCTTCAGTTCTGAAGGCTAAAGGTAATAGAATCAATTTAACAAAGCATAAGAAATTTATTAGCAAAAACATCTGAATAAGTCCACAGTAAATTAGCATTATCTCCTTTACAGATTTGCAGGTCAAAATTGCACAGGTCACCCACATATATTTGAAAACTTGTGTTTATTTACCTGTCCCTCAAATTTCTTTCAGTTCTTCATGACCTTAAACTGCTCTGATTATCATTTCCAAAAGAAAGGAAAAAAAAGAAAAAAAGAGTTTTTTAAAGACTAAAAAGGTTTTTTAAAAAAGGTTAGAAGGAAAAAAAAGAATAAAAGGAAAATAGAAAGGACTTGCTTCCATGCCCTCTGTTTTTCTCCTTTCTACCCATTCATTAAATATGTATTTAGTGTGTAATCTTTCCAAACACTTGCTAGTCATTGGTGAAACAAAGATGGTGAAGCTAAGAACAGTGGGAGGAAGACTTGGGGATTGGAGATCTGAATTCTGTTGTTTTCAAACTCTTCGTCATACTCTGTCTGCTTCAGTCTTGTCGGGTTCCTTGTTGCTCTGAAAAAGTATGACATTCTTATTTGAATTTTTTTTATTTCAATCTCCTGAATGGACTGAATTTCCTCTCTGTCCATCCAAATTTCGGGTCTCTTTCTAAGAATAATGTCCACATTAAGCGTCAAGCTTTCTCTATCGACTCCCTAGTCAAGTCTGGGGAATCAGAGAAGGCTTTCCTGAAGTGCACTAAATTCAAGCATGAAAGATGAGGAGTTAGCCAGGCAAAGGCGTGAGGGCTGTCCGCGACAAGCACAGCAGCAGGGCTTCTGCTCTTTGCCAAACACACTGAAACCTACTTAATTTATTTTGTTTCTGCGAGTTTTGCTTGGTATCTCTATTCTAATAAACAAAGAAGCCAAGATATAAATAATTTAAATTACTTGGTGTCGGTGTCAAACCATGGGTAAGAGGAAAAGGCAAGAATCAAAGTCAAGTCTGTTGGACTTTAATGCCCATTTATTTCATTTTAACACAGGTTCTCCTTGCTCCTTGTAATAGGGCTTTTGTGTTTGTATTCTTCAGAGCACTTTTGCTTTCAGTGTAGAACTCATTACATAAGTTTGAAAATCCATTTGACATCGACACACTGGCTGTGTGTTGTGGAAAGTAGTCTTAGACCTTCTACTATTGGGGTGACTCCCCTTAATTCCCACAGAGGGGCTCAGTCCATTTTTCTCCAGTGATTATCTGTTCTTACAGACAGACTCCTTCTTATCCTCCACTCTCATTTTATCTGATAGCTAGCAAAAACATCGCCCTTGCTTGCGTGAGAACTAAAGGTATTACTGAAAGACACTACCAGGAACATGCATATATACATGCAAAATCTAAACCTTCCCTCCTTTCAGTGTAGTATGAAATGCACTTATTTTGGTGAGCACTTATAAGAATACGTGGACCATATATTATTGTTCACCATGAAAACAACTCAGCAGAAAAGTTGAGTCTTACCTCTAAAATTACCTTTCAGGCCCAGATGATTATCAAAAATTTAAACTACTACTTAAAGACTTCACTTTTGCTGAAGCCTAAACTGGTTGGAAATGGTGGTTGTAAACATTTGTCTTGGAAAACATTATCTGGGGAGATTTAAATCCACGTGGACCACTTTGCTAAGTAGGCTCCTGGAATCTCTGTTATTGTTATTGTTATTGTTATTAAAGTGCAATTGCAGGCAATTTCCTAGGGAAAACTTATTCCTGAGTGTTACATTCTCTACTATTTGCAAGATGTCTCCACAATCAGTAGAAAATCATGTATGTCAAGGTCTACTGCATGTGATTATTGATTTAGAGCTGTTTAAAATGCACCTCTTTTTAAATTCAAGCTACGGTCATGCCCTCAAATGTATTTGTTATATATAAGTTGGTACTATTTTAGGAGAGTTGTATTGCCACTTTTCCTTTATTCTCTGAATATAATTTTTCATTACATAAAAAAATTAAAGTAAAAAGTACCATATTACCTATAACATTTCAGGGACTTTAACCTCTGCAGTGTTACTGTTTCTAGAGAGGCTCTTGGAAGCCCGCTGCTGGGCTGTGGCAGAATCAGAATGCAGCGGTTTTATTTCACTGGAGCAGCTCAGAGGTCGCCTACCTTAGCCGGCCTCTCATAGATTCCATCTGCATGTACACATTAGAACCTGTACTGAAGCAACGCTATATGTCTAAAGTCAGAATTATTACACAGAATTCACCTGGGGCCACATTTACTGGAGATGTGATAACTATGAGTAAATTAGGCATTTAGAGAAACATCATTAGGCTTGTCCCTTTGTTTAAGGAGGTAGAGAGAGATCTGGGGATGGTTATTCCAAAGAAAAAAAGCAAGAGAAAGACACATCTTGCTGACTTTTGCTGCTGGTTCGGCTACTAACCTTCCTGGACTCACAGAGGCCCTCTCAACACACTCAAAAGAGGGCAGAGCCCTGCTTATGTGACTGAGACCACCCAGACACCAGTGAACCCTGTTAGCCGCCCCTGTTATGGTTATATTCCTTCTGGCATCCACCCCTATCCTATTGCCTCTTGCTTCTTAAGCTGGTCTGACTTAAGTGAGGTTGTAAGATTCACCCATGGATGAAGGAGCTGCAAACCAAACCCAAATAAGGCAACAAGGAGATTAATTCTCTTCCACTGAAAATGCAACAATAGTGCCCTTAGGTTCCTTTGGTATTGGGGTCATATGATGGACATTAGAATTACTGACCAGTTTTGTGACTTAAGCTTTTGTACGCTTGAATCTAATGCTAGAGGAGTCTCGGCAGACCTTACTTTCTTTCATATTCTGACGCTCAGGACCATGCACCCCGGCTTCTATTTGTCTTCACCATACTTTCTGTTAGCCATTCCCACTCATCAAAAAATAGCTAGGACTTTGAAGCTGATCCTCAATAATTCATTTGTCATGAACACTCACATTTTCATTACTGCCTTTGTCACTGGGGGTGATGCAGGGGAAGGGAAACCTGAAGTGATCTTCCTATTCCTTTGTGAACTTCTCCATCTCAACCTCCCTGCCGGGTTATTTCGAGAGTTCCAAGCTATGTCCCAGCAACTTTACACATGTTCCAGATCTGAAAATCAAGCTTCATGAGCCTTCCTGGGGGCTCTTGATCAAAGGCAAAGAAACTACCATATTTGTAAAAACAACACATGCACGAAATGTGCTCTCCAGTGCTTTGCTCTTGATAAATAAGACAGATGAGTTGAAAAATGCATCAATAGTTGACCCAAAACAGTGGTGTATCTATCCTTCTTAATACAGAAGTGCAGAATTCCCATATAACACTCTCCACATTTTAGGTCATATTTGATATCCTTGGGTAGTTAGGGGCTGCTCAGACCAGGCTGTATACTTCTTAAATAGGTCAAAACCCTTCGAAGTCAAAAAGGACACTGAGAAGAAACGAAATGCAAGGAAGTTGGTGTAGAAGATGACCCAGCTTGGGAGAAAAAGCATCTTCCCATTAGCAAATTTGGAAATAAAAATCATTTCTATTTTATGAAGACTTTCTCCAAATTTAAAGTGGTGGATTTATGACCTTAAAATACCCTATAAAATATTTCTGTTTTTCCACCCCTCCTTTCCTTCTCCAGCAAAATCAAAGCAGTCTGTGTGCCCTCTGCTTAGGTCTTGTACTTTAAAACTATTTTACCCTCATAGAATCATATACAGACACCCATTTAAATCAACATGCTGAATCTTGAATTCTGAAGTTCCAGGCATTATGCATTCCCACCACTGGGCATATGTCCCCACCATCACTTCTCATTTCACAATACATTAATTATTTTTGGTTTAACCAGGAAATGCAAAGCAGTAAATTACCCCCATCGGCTTGGGGGGAAAAAAGTTAACGAAGCTTCTCAATGTGTTTTTTCAATCCGTGGCTCTTGATTTCGTCTTCACGTGCTGAAATATAGAAAAAAATTGACCCTATTTAATCTTAACACAATAAATGGCAACACGGACATTTCTTTGCCACCAAAGCCATTTTTCAAAATTCTACAAGCATATGGATATGTAAGGCTATAATTTAGCTACCGAAAAAATCTTGCTTTGAGGAGCACAGTCCTTTCCATAGAGCCTGGAAATCCATTCCTGACACAATCCAAACTCACCTGGACTCAGTGAATTCTAAGTGATTGCTTGAGTAGCTTATCCATTTACAAGTATCACTACCATATTTTCTGCATTCCACCCCAAACCATAGGTAGGAGTAGAAAAAATGGCTGGAAGGATTGATTTCTTCCTTTCCTTCCTTTCTCACTGCATTGTATGTCATTTTTGTTAGTCAAATAGATACTGAGATTCAATGTTGCAGAAAAGGCACAAAACTGTTTTTATCATTAATTTTTATAGGCTGTTGAGGAAGTATAATGTTGTTCATGTCATTGCTCATATGTATGTCTGAAACCTATAATATGATCAGGATCATTTTGTATTTGAACCCAGTAGGATAAATGAAGTTTTGCCTGACTTACTTTAACTAAGGACCACATATTTAAGACATTGGGAATTCATAGATGAAACTGTCTCAAAATTTACTTTAGCCTTATCCTTGAAATTTGTTTGACTTAAGTCTGATGACTAAAACACCACATTTACATGATATATGCAGAGTTTCCATTTGATTGTTTATTTTTTGGAAAAAAAAACATAGCCTGAAAGAGATAAACTAAGTGCTGATTTTAACAGTTTTGGAAGACTTGGATGCTGAAGTCATGTACTTTTTAAAATTACAGATAAAGCAAGTTCCTAACCATCCAAATACTCATCTTCTTAAATGAACACATAGATTGATACCCATTCAACAATTTACATTTCTTTTAAATAAAAATGGTTAGAGGACAGCTTGTTGTACTCTGTTCTGTTCTTTCTTTGTCTCTGTATGATTAAAATTGCTTTCTGAGAGAAAGCACCATATTATTTCCATCCAGGTTCACCTTACTATAGCTCACTGACTCCATTATATATGTGTTCTCAAATCTTTTGATCTTGTTTTTAAATAAATGTTCAATATTTCTTTCCAGAACCTGTTAAGGGGAAAGAAGTGAAAGTTCCAGCTTCCCTAAAGGAAAAAGGTATTACTCTATAATGAAATGTGAAAACACATTGATCTGCCTGTAGCATATGCAGTAATTTGCAATAAATAATACATCATTTATTTTTCATACTTTCAAAACTATAACTTTCATATGCACTTCTAGGCTCTTGAGCTAAGGAAAAATAACTTGTTTCCTATTATAAAATTCAAAATTGTACTATGAAACAACAAAGGAAAGTGTAGCTGTGTCAGAAATGCTAAGAAAACTTTTAAAAGGTATGTGCTGTTCTGATTCCACAGTCTGTAGTAGCAAACTACATTTTTTAAATATCCCAAGGTGAATCCTATTAGGGATAGCCGTGGAAACCAAAGATTTAAGATACTAAGAAATAAACTTTCTCAGTGATAGCTTGCCATTCTGTAAGTTCAGATACAGTAAAATCCTAAACAAATTTTATAGCTAGGAGGAACTTAGAGATAAACTATTGTCCAAAGCTCTCATCTTATAGATAAGTAAAACTGAAATAGTCAGACCTCTCAAAGGCAGTGTAACTTGCAGCAGACCCAGCATTAGAACTCTGAGCTCCTAAATCAAGCCTGTGATCTTGCTAATGCATCTTATGGCACCTCCAGCCTTCCTGTTATACGAGGCTCGGAGTCCTGTGGGTTCTGATATTACCTGCACCAAGTTATGTTCCCCTAAACATCAGGAAGTTTGTTAAGTCCAACGTAATATCCCAGTACTTTCTGTGGGCATGGTGACATAAGCCCAATTGTCCAATATTTCTTGTCGTCAAAATGACCATGTTAATGAACCAGTGAAACCGTGAAATGTACCTGCAACAGTGATTGTTAAAAATAGAGCCTGTTTCTATATTTACCCTGAAGAGATGAGCTGCATTAACTATTGACTAATGTATAGGAACTTAGTGGTAAAAATTCCAAGTTACTGATTTTTTCTTCTTCAAAGGAAAAAGAGTTTTGGTGAACTTGTGTAAGCATGTGTTGGAGCTGGGAGAGCTGTGGAAGAGCAGTGGGAGGGGAAGCTGATGGAAGACTCAGTGAGAGAAATGAAGGACGTGTGGAGAGGCTCCATTAGACAGTGTAGCCATGTATAAAAAACATACCCTTAAGTCATACTTTCTTAATTTTGCAACTAATTTTAAATTAAACAAAATTATTATTTAATGAAACACAAGAGCAAAACATGATTTTTTTCTCAGCCCACATAGGTACTTGATTTTTTAAAACAAATGTTTAAAGCAACAGAGACTCTAAACCCATTAAGGCATTTATGTTTCACTTTATAAAAATATCATCATATCCCCAATTTTATTTTTATTGTCACATATGTAATAGCTATCTTGGTGTTTATGCAGTTTTATGTTATTCTGGCAAAATATGTAAATTAGGGTATTTTGCTCACAAGAGAATTCTTTCATATTATGCTAAATGTCCAATAAGCAGCAAAACATTATTACACTGTGTTATTTAAAGGATGAATCAATTGTGAAGACTAAAATTCCTTTGGATTTAGTTAAGCACTAATTTATTTCTTTATAATAACTCTAGAGTTCTTTAACATCATCAGATTGTTGACTGCAATAGAAATTTAGGTAAAAGTCTAAATTGAATAGATTTGATGCCATCAAGTAATTCAGTCGTTCAATAATGTTGTAATTCTTTGCCAATCTAAGATAGAAATATCAAAATTGAAGAACAGATAGGAATATTATAAATTTCCACATTTTTTATAAAAGAATTGCAGTGCAAAGAGTTTTCCCCAATAGAAATGTATGTGGAATATATATACAAAAAAAATAATTTAGATTTCCCCTAAAAACACATGATGCTAATTTGAGTCTTTAAACACTGGGAAGGATTTCCTCTCTCTTCTTCCTTCCATCTTTCCAGGTATTGTTTTTTTATCATCGATCCCAGGTGGTCAGTGTAGTACCAGCCAGTGATGGTCACAGATGATGGTGGTGGGGAAGGCAGCATTTTGGAAAAGAAGCATTTTTAAAGTTACATTTTCGTTCCAGTAATACTGAATTTTCTATGTTACCGTACCATTTTCTTCCTAATTTCTAATTTTTTAATGGCAAGTATGTGTCAACAACAGTTTGCATAAAGCATCAATTAAATGCCCACCCAGACTGCTATTGTCAATATTGTTCTATTATTTCTTTTAGAAATTGAGGCTCCAAATAACCACTTGAGCATATTTAATTAGCCTTTTTATTTTGCCATTTAAAGTGACCATGACCTCTGTTAGAAATGTGCTAGAATATCACTGGAGCTTTGAAATTTTAGGCAAGGAATTTCATCATTTGTTTGTCTCCAAACAACCAAAATTCAGGCCTGTGGTGCTGAATGTGAATGACAGGCCTTGCACATTTTGACAGAAAGTGTAGCCATGATATACAAAGACTTTCACTTTTCACCTGTGACCAATGGGGTCACATTAGGCTTTCTTTCCTTAAAGGGGGTCAGTGTCATCTCACATGGATCAGAACAGCTACAATTAAAAGACTCCTTATTAAAACAGAAATCAATTTTAGAAGAAATCTTGTTCAATTAAAAGTTTAACATCTCTTCTTTTAGCAAACAAAGGGATTCTTAAAAGGCTTTGTTAATGTCCACTAATGGAGCATCAGACAGAACGGTAACATCATTCACACTTAAATGAGAAAACTCACAAAATACATAGAAATTTAACAACATATTCTTGAAAACCTAATGTGTCAAGGAATAAATCAAAAGGGACATTGGAAAATATCCTTAGACAAAAGAAATTGAAAATACAACATACCGAACTTAGGGGATGCAAAAAAAAAAGCAGTTCTAAGAAAGAAGTACATAGTAATAAACGTCTACAGTAAAAAAGGAGAAAAATTTCAAATAAACAACCTGACTTTATACTTCCAGGAACTGGGGGTAAAAAAGAAGAAATTAAGCCCAAAGTTATCAGGAGGAAAGAAATAAAGATTACAGCAGACATAAAGTAGAGAATAGAAAAATCAACAAAACAAGAGGTGTTTTTTAAAAAGATCAACAGAACGCACAAAACTTTGGTTAAATTAAAAAAAGAAAGAGTGAAGAGCCAAATAAATAAGAGTTGAAAGAGGACACATTATAACTGGTGCTACAGAAATTTTAAAAGGATCATAAAAGACTACTACAAATATTTTTATGCCAACAAGTTGGACAATCTAGAAGAAATGAATAAATATCTAGAAAACATACAATGGCCAAGACTAAATCATAAAGAAAATCTGGACAGACTAATAACAAGTAAGAATATAATCAAAAACCTCTTAAGGGAAAAAAAAAAGTCCAGAACCAGAAGGCTTCATTAGTGAATTTTACCAAACACTTAAAGAATGGCTGACAACTTTTTCCTGAAGAATTGTTTAAGCAAAAACTGTGCCAGTACCAGCAGCACTTTTACTCTAACGCAGCGACCGACAGTGTGACGCTTGTTCTCTTGGGCCCATTTTGTCCAAGTGCCAAGTTGATACAATGGAATGGAAAAGGGTTATGCATTGGTAAGAAAAGCAGTTGAGACTGCCAGAATTCTCTCTAATCATTGGCTTTAAAAAATTAATGTATCCAAGCACTGGGGTTTTTTATTTCCTCCATCCAAAAAAAAAATCAATGTATAGCAATATTATAAGTAACAGCAATATATATGTGAGATATATGGACGATTGTAAGTGAAAAGCCCCAATATTCCTGCTTGGCGTGCCTTCCTTTTCACCCTTCATTAAGAGGGACAGAGTGGAAAGAGGATGACTCAGTGTCACTCTGCATGTCCATTTCTCTTGTCACTCCAAGCCACCTTATGCAAATACTCTAGTGTGCTTCTCTCCTTGATGGGAAGTTTTTAAAAATGTCATAGCATTTTATTTATTAATTTACTTTTATTTTTACTTTTCTTGTTCACACTTTAAAAAGCTTGAAATGTGTTATTTTCAAATAAGGTCATCTATTATTTTCATGTGTTTAATCAGATACAGGATGAGCCATACTTGTGACCTTTGACCTTTTATTAACATAACTGATTATTCTCAGTTCAAATTAAAGAAAATGAATGCAGATGCTCAGAGAAATAAGTAAGAACCTAGTTTAAAAGTGACCCCTCCTTGATAAAAAAAAGAAAAGAGTGTCTTCTTATTTACCTTGGCAAGTGATTTTTGCACAAGTTTCTGAGTCATTTGACTGGTTTAAAGTCAACTGGCTCATTACCTGAAATGTATCCAACCAGCTCTCCTGCCACCTTCAGATAACATCACAGGACCTTGTTCTGACTGACTCTTCTTTGTGTGACCTGCAATATGTTCAGCCTCCTCCAATTATTTCTTACTTATTTCAGTGCACACTCTTCATGTTGGGAAGCTTCAGGGAAGGAGAGAATAATGAGGCACGCATAGCAAGACATAAAAGGAAGATTAGATAAAGGCAGAGTGACATGATCAGGACCGCGGTACATTGTATTTAGCACATACCAAAGACAAAGGAGCACGAAAATGAAATGATGACAGAATGAGGAAGGGAAAATGTATGCATTTATTCTGCACTGCAAAGAGAGAATGCCCTCTGGCTCATTTTGTGTTTTTAGTGTCCACTCAGCAAACTTTCCCTGTAAGCATCAAAGTCCTATGGGAATTTTGCCAAGAAAGGTTTGCAGAATCAGGTCTTAGGCAGAAAGTATTGAGTCATGCATTAAGCGCTTGTATTACAAACTAGAGCTATTTTAAAACTATACTTATAGCAGCTTGTAAAGCGTAACTGGTTTTTCTTGTTGACCTAATGGGGAGGAGAGGTGAGAGACTGACAGACACACAGACACAAATGCACAGAGAGAGCGTGTGTTGAGGGAGGGTATTTGTGTGTGTGCATATGTGTTATGGAAAAAGCACTGTGCCCAGTCATCTGAGACTCTGGCTTCAGCTTTGAAATCACCAGTTACAAACTAGTTAATTCACTTAGTTACTCTGGCTAGTTATAGCTGACTGGAACAAATTAAATATGAAA